AGTGCAAAACCTAGACCCTAGATTATACCAGGGGAGGGGCTGGTGTTCTCCCCCTTGTGATGGGCTGGGCCAGAATTCTGAGGCTTAGCAGTCAATGATGTGATCATTCCCAATGATGAGATCTAATGTACTGTAATCACCATGAAGTGAGCTAATGTGACCAGCCAGGATCTGATGTAATTACCCTGTGTTGTAAATCCTCATTTCTGTATTAATGAAGCCAGGTGCAATCTACAGGATGAAGTCTATCGTCAGTCAATCTCTGAGACACAAAAGGAGAGAGAAGTGAGCCAGGGAAAAAGGGACCTACGACCACCAAGAGCGAGCTGGGAGCAGAGTGTGTTCTTTGGACCTGAGGTCCCTGCGCTGTGAGACCCCTACAATCCCGGGTAAAACTGATGCCAAGACACACAGAGAACTCCAAGGAACGCTGGGCCTCTTGTCACCATTGAGTAGGTTCTGACTCACAGTGACCCTGTGCACAAAAGAAACACTGCCCAGTCCTGCACCATCCACACAATCATTAAGCTTGAGTTTGTTGCTGTTGTCACTATGCCAAGCCATCTCACTGGGGTCTTATCTATCTCACTGACCCTCCACTTCATCCAGCATGATGTCCTTCTCCAGGGACTGCTCCCTGTGGACAGTCTGTCTGAAGTATGAGAGATAAAGTCTCACCATCCTGGCTTCTAAAGAGCATTCTACTGCACGTCTTCCAACAGACTGGTTTGCTCTTCTGGCAGTCCATGGTTCTTAGAATAATCTTCGCCAACACCGTAACTCAAATGCATCAATTCTTTTTTATTTACTGTCCAACCTTTACATGCATATGAAGCTACAGAAAATGCTATGGCTTGGGTCAGGAGCACCTTAGTTCTCAAACTGTTAGCTTTGCTCTTGAACACTTTAAAGAGGTCTTGTGTAGCAGATTTGACTAATGCAATTTCATTGTTTGATTCCTAACAAATGCTTCTGTAAGTGTTGATAATGGATCCAAGCAAAATGAAATCTTTGACAACTTCACAATCTTTTCTCCATTTATCACGATGTTATTGGTCCAGTAGTAAGGATTTTTGTGTTCTTTACATTGAGGTGTAACCCATACTGAAAGTTGTGGTCTTTGATTTTAATCAGCAAGTACTGTAGGTCCTCTTCCCTTTTAGCAAGCAAGGTTGTATCCTCTGCGTGTACATAAGACTTACACCTCTCCTAGTCACGAAAATCTATGTATATGTACTTAGGAGCCCTGGTGGCACTGTAGAATACACGCTTGACTGGTAACTGAGAGGTCAGTGGTTCAAACCCACCAGTCACCCTGAGGAATAAAGATGAGGCTTTCTGCTCCTGTAAAGATGTACGCACAGTCCTGGAACGCTTACACAGGGTTGTTATGAGCCGGACCCAACTCGATGGCAGTGGGTTTTATGTGTGATGATGGTGTCCCTACTTGGGAAAATACAGGATTAGGGAAAAAGAGGAAGACCTTCAATGAGCTGTATCAACAGTGTCTGCAGCAAGGGGCTCAAACACAGCAATGACATGAGGATGGTGGAGGACCAGGTCGCATTTTGTTCTGTTGTAAATGCGTCACTGAGTCGGAGCTGATGACTCAGTGCCAACTGACAACAATATATTTGGACTTCACAGTACACAGGACTGAGTCCCGGAATGCCAGGTAGTCATAAAGAGTGAATGCAGGCCATGGAGGGTGCTTACAAGTAGCCATCCCTACTGGTGAATACCTTTACATTTAGAAGGAAAATTGCCAGACCATAAGATGTGTATGTTCAGTTATAGGAGATAGTCCCAAATAATCGCTGAAGTGATTTACCAGTTTTCATTCCCCTGCAGCCAATTAAAGCTCCAAGTGTTCCCCTTTCCACCCAAAATAGATATTTAACAGCCTCTTTTTTTTTTTTTTTTTAATTGTGGTTTGGGTGCAAGTTTACAGAGCCAGTTATTTTTCAACAATTTATATGTATTTTTGTTTCGTGACATCCCAACATAACTACAAGAATGTTTACTACTCTTTATACTAGATTTGTTTTTGAGCAAATATTTCACAAATTTAAAAATACACTTAAAAATGTCAGTTGCAGAGCTGCTCTAGATTTTGAAACCCTTTAAAGTGAGATCAGATTCGTTCTCCGTGCCCTGCCCTCAGTTGGCTGGGCGTTTCTCCCGAGCAGCATCCCTCCTGGCTGTTCCTAAGCCTGCTCTCACCCCTACTCACCTTACCAGCAGCCCCCAAGCCCCATTCCCTGCCCTAAGTTCCACCTGGGGAACGTCTTCAAAATACTGCCCACAGCACCTCCCCCCAGATCCACCCAACTTTCAAAATGGACCCTCTCGATCAGAGTTCCTGTTCTGTGCTGCTTACACCTGCATAGACCTATCCCTTGTGTCTTCAGAATCGGAATCAATGCTGTGACTGGAGAAAGCAGAGTCAGGCCAAGCCTGAGTAAACTGGGTGCGCAAGCCTCAAGGGCCACCAAGAACCCCAACAGTGTCAGCAGATTCCAGGGCTGGCAGAGCAGGAAGAACCGAAGCCAGCAGGTGGGAGGCGGTCTGCTTGTTCCCGACATGGTCACCAGGCACATGAAACACCCAGAGCCACAGACCCACACCACAGGACTCAACTGGGGCCTCCATCTCCACAGGCCACACATGGCTGGCCCCACCCTAGAAAGCTGTGGGGGTCATCAGTTGCCCCTTCCTGTCTTAGAGAGGGTGGGGTAACCAGCTTGGGAGCCAAGCAGCCCTGTGACTTACTGGGTGGCCTGACGACCAGACACTTCTCCAAGCTTCAGCTTGAGCTCCATAAGGGTGACCACAGCTGTTGTGCGTAACAACACTGTCCCCTGGTGGCCTCCTTGGTTAGTGCTCCCAGGATGAGCTCAGGACCCCAGCTGCTCTCAGCAGGGCAGGGACTTCAAAGGGTGCAAATTCTCAAAGGAGGTTGTGAACACTGTTGGAACACCCTGGACGCCAGGGTGACAGCTCCTGGACCCTTACAAAGTTTGTGAGGCCGAGGGGATGAGGGGATGAGGAATGAGGTGAGCCCTTTGGTAGCCACATCCCCCTCCACAAACTCCTCCACAAATTCCCCTGCTGGGTAGCTGAGCTATGCTGGGAGTGGGGGATACAGGTTGGGGGATGGGGGTTGGCTGGATACCTGAGTTTGTCAGTCCACAGAATGGAGCCCACGCTGAGCCCCTCAATCAGCCAGGTAGCAGCAGTGTGGCCTAAGGTAAAAAGATGGCTGACAACGATGAAGACACGGTTCCGGTCTGTGAGCAGATGGAAACCAATTGAAGAGAGAAACCACATGATCACCGGGCAGGGGAGGGGATGAGCAGCAGAGGGTCCCAGGAAAACCGAACCTGTTTTAGAAAGGGAGATGCTAGGAAGAGAAAACCATGTAGATATGCAAGATTTCCATACACGCACAGCTCCAAGTACTTGTCACTTATCAATTCACAGGAGCCTTACAATATACATTCTGTAGACAGAAAAGATGGAGGCGCAACCACGCTAAATAACCTGCCCGAGGCGACACAGCTCCTCTGAGGGCCTCAGAGCCAGGAGTCCACATGCCTCCGCCCCACCACCGGTGAGGTGAGCACACAGGAGCTGCTGTGCAGAGAAGGGTCAGGGCTGAATGAGAAACGGTGTTGGCAGAGATCTGCCCCGAGCCTCATAAACCCAGGGGCCTAGAGAGTGGGACCCAGCCCCAGGTCTGCTATAGATGCACGGCCACACCACACGCTCCACACAATCTTGAGTGACTGTGTTGTCTCTCTCAGCTCCTGGGTCCCCCAAGAAACTGGCCTTCAGGGGCTCCTCCTTCACTGGTTCCCTGGCGAGGCAGGAAGCATGTAGAGAGCCAGGGAATTTCTAGCACCAGAAACCATTAGATGACTTCAGTGCTGGGCTCACCCTGGGGTCTGACTTAGCCACCTGACCATGTGTTTCCCTTCTGTGTCCTGCCTCAGGAAAAACTCTGGTCACTTGCATCTTGGGCCACACACCCAGACACGGTGGTCTGGCCATGGTTCCAAACAGCGCCTTGCCTGTTATTCCACTCCTCGGAGTTCAGCCATGAGAGCCAGGCCCAAACAAGCAGGATGCTTACTGCCGTCTTGTTTACAAACACCTCAAACAGTGCTGTTCCCAAAGGCTGAATTAGTGGCTTTTTAACCATAGTACAGATCAATACATAAAAAGGCTTTCCCAGTCGGAGGAAACTGGGTTAAAAAACTACAGGCTTTCTTGACTACAAGGTCTCTCAGTGTTCTACTTGCTGAAAGGGATGTGGTATGCACAAACTTGCTTGACAACACAACACAAACCCAGCATGGCATACTTGGAGGACTCCATCCCTGGACAAGATGGACCACTCTGCCTTGTCCCATAGCCCCCTCCAGTTAGCTCCTGATTCAGGCACAATTTCTTATCTAGTCATCGATTCCCATGTTCTCACCTCCCATTCTCCCATTCACCTCCACCTACTCCAAATCTGGCATCCAGCCCAAACACTCCACTGGGACTGTCCTGTCAAACTCAGTAATGGCCCCACCACACCCAGCGTCCACCCAGGCGCCTTCCTGCTCCACCTGCACCGTTCCTCCCCCTCAGGCTCCTGTCTTTCAGGCTGGAAGTCTGGTACTAGCGGATGTTCTCTGGTTTATTTATGGGGGTTGTCCTTGAACAGAGTCGAGAAAATCCTGATCTGAGCCAGTCTGGGTGGGTCCTCACTGACCTCGTGCATTCCCTGGAGCCTGGAGAGCCCCTCCCCAAGCCCACAGGCCTATAAACACAGGCTCAAGGCCAGCAGGGACAAATGGTCTGTAGATTCTTATTTCCACTGGCTAATCAAAGTCAAGTAAGTCAAATTAGCAATCAGGGAAAGGGCAGCTTCTATGGGACCCTCTGACACCCACCCAGCCCAGGGTGTCCCCACTAAAGACAGACACAGCTGGCTGTGTTTATTGTGGTGTTTTTTTTAATGAAACTAGATCACTGCTTACAAAACCCTGCGTGTTCCCTCGTGCCCCTCCCCTTCACAGTTCCCTTGGCTCACCCTCTCCCAGTCTCCCCAGGGCAGAAACACAGAGGGAGGTGAAATAGCCAACACACCAGCTCAAGGAATGCCACTGGGGAGAGGGCTGGGCTCCGGCCCTGAGCCTACAGAGGGTGACAGTCTGTCCACGTCTGCTCCCGTGGGGCCCAGAGGCTGCATGGATTAGGGTGGTCCCTGCCGCCAAGGCTTGCAGGCCACCACCACTCAGACCAGAGTGAAATGATGTGAATGTCCCACCCCAAAGGCCCCCCTCCCCCTAGTAGTCTCTTCCCCTCCCCACCCCCACCCCAACCCTAACACTACCCCGCTACTGCGATGCGGCCCAGCTGGTATCAGAAGGGTCTGGGTCTATAGGCTGTAAAACTTGAGGCTCCTGTCCATGCCTGTGGAAGCGATGAACTTGGCGTGGTGGCCAAAGGCCACCCCTGTGGTCAGGCCACTATGCTCTGTGGAAAGAAAAGGCAGCAGTGAGGGGTCTGCAATTGGCTCTAAGCACGGACCCCTAGGCATGGGGTTCCCAGGCCATCAAGTCCCGCTGCCGCCCCCAGATGCCAAGGCAGGGTTCTCATCTGATCTGCTCATACACCACCACGAGGCACTCATTTCCAGCCCCCTTTCTGGCCTCTTAAAAATGCCCATTTCAATTTAGGGAATTAAATACTACTGCCTGCCTTGTCTCTCTTTGTTTAACTCCACTCTATATAGTTCTCACAGTGTTTTCCGTGCTCTGCCTGATGGTTTACACAGCAGATGAGGGCCTACTCACTGAGTCACACACTTGGCTCCATGGCAGCCCTGGTTACCTTCCCTGCAATGTGTCAGCCCTCTGCCCATTTCCTGCCCTCCCATTTCCCCTCCTTGCTTTCTCATCTTTGCTCCTGGGCAAATGCTGACCACTTGGTCTCACATCGTTGATTGTTCTAAGGAGCGCATCCCCTGCTATTGTGGAGAGCGCTGCAATGAACAGTGTGCACATCTGTTGTCACTGCCAAGCTTCCCCAGGAGTGGGCTCGCTGGTCAGGCGGCTGACCTAGTTCTAGGTCCTGAGGAAGGGCCACACCACTCCCCATATGGGTGACACCACTTCACAATCTGGCCAATCTTCTCACCTCACCTCACTTGCTGTTCTCTGCTGACTGCTGACCAGTGCCATTTCTGCAGGACTGAGATGCCATCTCACTGAATTTTTATGTGCATCTAATGGCTAATGGTCATAAGCATCTCTTCGAGCGTTTGTTAGATGCCGTAAGATCTTCTTTGATGAAGTGTCTATTCAGGTCTTTCACCTGTTTTTTATTGGAGTGTTCATCTTTTTGTTATTGAGGGGTGGAAGTTTTCTATTTTAGGGATCAGACCCTTGTCAGATCCGTTGCCCAGTTTCCCCAGTTCTAGGTTCTCTTTTTACGTTTTGGGTAGAGTCGCTTGATGGAGGCCCCAGTAACCCAGTGTATCTTCAGCTGTCTGTGCAATTACGTGATGTTTGACAGTGCCATTTATGGCCCAGATTAGGATCCCTGGCTTTGAACTTCAGTGTTAGGTTTAACATTTAGCTCTTTGGAGTTACCTTTTATATGTGATGTGACACATGGATCCGATTTCATTTTTCTGCAAATGAATCTCCAGTTTTGCTAGCACCATTTGTTTAAGAACTAGCTCTTCCCCCACGGAATGGACCATTGGCCGAAGATCCTTTGGTGATGTTGTTAAGTGCTGTTGAGTCAGTTCCGACTCCTCGTGACCCTATGCTGAATTTCTGAGTGGCTGGTGGGTTTGAATTGCCAACCTTGTGGTTCACAGTCCAGTGCTTACCATACAGTGCCAAGTTAGGAGTCTTCCATAGCTGGATGGAGTCACTTTTGGGCTCTCAGTTCTGTTGGGTCATGCTTCTGTCTCACTGTACCAGTACCAGGCTGTACAGTAAGTTCTGAGATCTGGAAGTGTGAAGAAGTCTCCTGCTTTGTTCTTCTTTTTGAATACTACTTTAGCAATTCAGGGTCTCTCTCCTTTCCATGTAAAGTTGGGGATGAGTTTTACTACTCTGTTAAAGAAGGTTGTTGGGATTTGGAAGGCACTCGATTTTTTGTTAGTGGAATGAATGAACAAAGGAGCATCAGTTCCCCCTCTCACCGAGCTTCCTGAGCAATGGAAGTTCAGTCAGGTACTGAGCATTTACTGTGAATCAGGCAAAGGGCATCAAGAGAAGAAGTAGCCATGGTCTTATTCCGTCATACCTCTCAATGTGCTACTTTTAAAACTTTCTGCTGAGTTCCCAGGTCCGTTTCAATGAGTGCTCAGCTTGTGAGCAAACATTTAGTTCTCCTGCGGTTCTCAGCTCCTTTTCAGTGAATGCTCAGCTTGTTGGCATACATTTAGCTCTCCTGAGTTCTCAGGCCCGTTTCAATGAGTGCTCAGCTGCCGGCATACGTTTAGCTCTCCTTGCTTGTAACTAGAATAGTTCATTAGCTTAATCAAGCTCATGGGATTCCAATTCTAGGGAATTCAGCCCCCAGGACAGGGCAAAGTGGGTTAGAGGCAGATGAGGTTGGCCAACACTCCTCCTGGGGACTTGGGGCAAATGGCTTCCTAGAGCACAATGAGGTCACTCAGCTCACAACTAAAAAGGCTGCCTGCATTCCCCTAACACAGCTGCCCCTAAATCAAGACACCCAGGCCCAAGACGGGTGAAAACCGATGGGCCAGAGTCCGGCCTGAACAGCTCTGTAGCACGCACTGAGCAGGGCTCACTAGGATAACATGGTAAGAGGGGAGGGGAGGGGGTTGGGACCAGTCACTCATCTCCTGCCCACAACCTGCCAAGGAGGACGAGAATGCCACGAGCAGACAGCAGTAGGCACTGTCCACTGAATTCCTAAGAGCTCCCCAGGCACCACCACCGTGCATGTACTCCTTCACCAACTAGCACAGGCAGTACCCACAGGCCTATTTAAAGAGGAAGACCCAGAACCCCACCACTGTGAGGAGGTCAGAAACGCCGGCCATCAGCTGTCTTGGTATTTTGATACTCTTCTTCTCCGGCACCTAACAACTGCTATCAAATGATCACCTGTGAAGCCATCCCACAGCTACCGTGCTAACTTCACTATCTATGCAGCCAATACACACACGAGTCTCTCTTCCTCACTGCTGGAATCCCAGAAGTGAGCTGTAGTGTGACGGTGGGTAATCACACCGCAAACCATCATCGTACTAACAATGTGCCGAGCACTGTGCTGACCATTCACAGGTAGTCTCAACTTACAACGTCAGGACACTTATGTTTTCGTGTCAAAACACAGTGCTGTTTTAAATAGTAAATCACAAAATTGAGCATCTATGAGTGAGCATCTGAGAATGGAAAAATCAGCATATTTTGCACTACACGACTACACATAGGTATGTGTCAACAGTAAGACACACACAGCACCGTGGGCTATGTGTCAACAGTAAGACACACACAGCACCGTGGGCTATGTGT